TAAACCCTAAACCCTTAACTCCTAGCAGCATCCAGGCCAAGGAGAAGCCAGTTCGCGCGGCACAGGTCACTGGCAGGACAAAGCGCCAACCCTCGCTGAGCCTACGGTCCGCAGAAAATGGTGTAAATGATACGGTTATTATTACTGATATTCTTATTGATACTCTTATAAATAACAATCTTACTGACTTTGTTAATATTACCTAATAATGATACTGTAATGAAATTATTGTTATTATTACTATATAGCGAATTGGGGTTTTGTTGGGATAATGGAACAGAAAATGCAAATTACTATTTTAGTGTAACAGCCCCTGCCACACGGTCTAAGGTATAGGGCCACTGCCGGTTACGGGTATACTGAGAAATATGAAAATGACGAACATGTTGGAAAATCATGATAAGCCATATAAAACGGTTGAACACTTTAGAAGTGGATGGAACAGGAATTAAACATGATTGGAACTATGAATATGATGCAAGTGATGAAACATGATGAAACATTGCGACATGTCATGGAGAGATGATGAATGATGCTAGAACTGGATGGAGAGTTTCGAATAATGAAACAACATGGTGAAGCATGCCGAGCACAATGAAAAAAACATCCCGAAGAATGAGAGTAGTAAACATAGCAATAAACGCAATAATGTTAGCTACAAGAAAAACACTAGTCATGAAAAACTAAAAGGTATCGATTACGAGCAATAAAAACTGGTACGACTAATCTTCTGCGCGTATTTGTGCTTTATAACCTTCCGTGCATATGTCGTTGTTTCATGTCCTTGTTCTTCCTTCCCTTGCTTCTTTATTTCTGTTCTCTCCGTTTTGATTGACTATAATATAATTACCATGAATGTTATGGTCACTATGACTGCCGTACTATCACTGCTGCTCTTTAGTGAATTGTTGTCTGTCTTTCGTTCTTTCTTTCCGTCCCTCTCTCTTTCTGCCTGTCTTTCTTTCGTGTGCTATTTCCTTCTATTATTCGTTCTCGATCTCTTTCTTTCCCTTTCTTCTTTCTGGTGTTGTTTCTTTCTTGCTTTCTTGGTCTCTTTCTATCTTTCTTTCCCGCTCTCCTACTCCACACCAACTCTTCCGTCCTTCCTTCCTGCCTTTTACGTACGGAAACACACACCGGGCCTCAGATTAAAAAGAGGCGCCCAAAAACATGTTTCCCTGTCTGGTATACCATACTTGCACCATGGAGATTATGAAAGAATAGGGTGCGGGGATATTCAACGTGGGCAGAGATTAATTCGCTCCAAGTTGCGGTCGCCCGAGGGGGTAGGTACCCAATAGCCAGACAAGAGTCCACATGAACCTTTAGGGTAAAGGGTTGAGGGTTTAGGGAACCTTTAGGGCTTAGGGTAGAGGGAGGGAAGGGTCTGGGAACATACGGCTTAGGGAGTTCTGGGGGTTTTGCCGTTTAGGGTGCTTCAGGGGGTTCAGGCTTTTGGGAATTAGTAGGTCAGAGGGTCATTGGGGTTCGATATTTGGCTTGGCTTGAACTAATGTCCCAAGATGGGCGAAATTTGTAAGGCCTCGTGCTATTTTGGGAACCCCACTCTAGGGACCCGTAGTAATTATACTGAACATAAGGAAATCCCCCCATGTACCTAAAATAATCGGCCCCAGAGGGGCTTACTTGTTGCCTACATTGTTTGGGGTGCGCACCAGACGAAGGCATTGTGCTTCACCCTGCGCGGAAACCATTTCGACCAAAACTCCTGACAGGATTGTTGTTGCGAGGCTTTCCAAAAAGGATTTGATTAACATTTCTGACAATTAGGGCGCAACCAAGGATAGGGCCATGTGTAATTCGTGGCGAGGGGGCCCTAAGCCTAGGAATTACAGTAGTCTCATGCTGTGCTAGTTTACACTCCGAAAACGACATGGCCACCATACAATCACCTCCCCGCAATACATACCCCCCAGTACAATATCACTATATCTTCGGGGGATATCTGGGAGTATTTATTTTGGGAGGTGGCAAGGCTTATTTTGAAGGAGGACAGATTTCTGCTCCAGAAACTTACCACAAAAAGCCGCAAAGGATTGGTTTCGGTATCTTGCGTAGCCGTCCCTCGTAAACCCTGACCCCTAAACACAACCCTTTCGCTTCTAGGACGCGAAGACAACAAGCCCTCCATGGCCCCCCAACCCCAAAGTTCCATCAGGGTCTGGGTTTAGGGTCTGGGTTTTAGGGTTTAGGGTTTTGGGTTTTGGGTTTTCGGTTTTGGGTTTGAACCTTAAACCCTAAAGCCCTTAAACCCTCAACCCTACAGTAGACCCTAAAGCTCTGAGATCCTTGTTGCACTTGCCGCTGGCGTCGGCCTCAGGAAAGCTCATCCACCACTCCAAAGCGAAGAGCGAGCCTGTGTCCTGGATCTTCGTAAAGCACAGCGGGCCCATGCTTTGGCATAATAGTAATAGTCGTCATAATATTATAGTCCCCCTTAAGTAGATAGAATATGGCTTTGGGCATATTACAATAAGATCCCCACATACCCCATATTCTATCTACTTAAGGGGGACTATAACTGTAAAATAATAAATTGGGGTTCAGAACTGAGGGTTGTGTGCTTGAGATCCTTGTTGGGAGGGATGTGCTTCCTCGAGGCTAGAGGTGTCGGAGGAATATTTCGTGATTGAAGTAGAACTTATGCCTGTTCCTATGTTTAGGTTGGTGGGTTTAGGGTTTAGGGTTTAGGGTCAAACTACTCCGAGGGGCGGGAAAAGGGGCGCAAGCACAAGCACGGAACTTAGGGCGGGGGGATCTGGGAATAAAGCTTCAGCTCAAATTCCCAGTTGGGTCCCCGACCCAAAGCGTGAACTGTGTTCTTACCTAGCAACTATGAATGTTGGATTGCAGCCCACCAGGTCGCATTGCAATATAATCCCCTGCCGGGAAATTGATGAAAAAAGGCGGGAAACAAACAAAAACACCTACCCAATAATGAATATTTCCAGCATAGTATATTCTTGCAGAGTGGGTAGATTTGATGTCTAAGGGGGAGAGAATCACGGCACAACCTAAAATTCTGCTCAAGAATGGCTCGCGTCGTTGAGGCCAAAAAAATGGATCACTGGGATCCAGGGCACGGTCAGCAGGTACCTTTGCTCAGGGTCAGGGTCAGGGTTTAGGGTTTAGGGGTTCAGGGTTTAGGGTTTAGGGCATTTCAGACAAAGATGATGTGTTGATGGATGCATGCGTTTGGAGAAGTCTAGAAGCTTTCAACGCAGCATTCAAGATGTTGTGAGGTTCATTTTTCATCTGTAGAGGCTACAGAAGGATGCCACATTGGCCTACCAAACTAGAAAACATTCTCAGTCGTTGCTGATCTCTGGTCTTCCTTAGATTTGTAGGCTTAGGATTTAAAGGCTAAACCAAGAATAGCAATAACTTAATAACCATAATATCAACAATAATAACAATAGTAATAATAATCGTAGCATTAAAAATAGTAAGCGCAGAATAGTACCTCACAGACTGCTAACTCGACAGGGGCCCAGGTGCTTGTACCAGTTGGGGCCCATGGGTCCTGCCCACTGCTGCAGCGCGTAGTGGAACTCCTCCATGTGTCCAGGCAATTTGGGAACTACTGAAGGTATAGGGTCCAGGAGTGTCTTCCTTACTGCACCCAGTACTGTTTTAGGAGGCTACTCCCTACACCATACAGCCACGCTTGAGGGTCTGTGACGGTCAACTCACCCTTGATCCTCGGGGTCCCAACCAAACTCGCCTTGCATCAGCAGATCCACAGTGCTTGCATGGTGGCGCGCATGCTCCAAAACAAACTCCTGCGGGAGCGTGGCTAAGCACTACAACTCTGCAGAACCAGCCCTAACCCCTAAACCCTAAGCCCTAAACCCTCACCGGGCTTCTATGGCTATGAGGACATCCTGCAAGTCATAGATTGCGATAACCCGCAGGGTCATGTCGAGAAATTCAAAGAAGAACGACCCAGGGTTTGGGGCGCGGGGTTGTGAGGTTTGGGGCTTCGGGTAAGCACCTTAGGCTTGGTACGTACTCGTCATGTCTTTCAGAACAGGCTATTGAATATGTTCATGTTAGGGCCAACTACAGGGGGGGAGTTTCCAGTGGGGGGCGAGTCTTTCTAGGGCTCGAGTGCGTACTGGCATCCTCCCAGGGAAGTGAGATGAAGTCCGAGAATGGGTGCGTCAAGAACTTCTGGAACTCGTACGGTGGGAAGGTCACCCCATGCATCACGTCGTGATCGATGTAGATCTGTTGGATGCAGATGTATGCAAAGGGCACAGCGAAGCATAGTGTGCAGGTCCAGAAACTCTCTGGGAAGGATGCCAGCGCAAAGCAGTAGCTGATGATCATCAGGCACTGAACAACGAAAATGGTGGTCAATACGTTCCACATGTAGATCATCTGCTCCTCAAAACGAAAATGAAAATGAAAAGTTGAAGACAGCAGGTCTGCTCCTCAAAACGAACATCTGCTTTCACGTCAGCATGGCAGAAGGAAGCCCAAGTCACAACAAACAAAACCTCCGTCTGCTACTCGAAGGCATATGGGACTTTTCTAGGCTACCCCGGTAATACAGAAGGCTAATATAAGAATAGTTACTAGTCGTTGCCAAGCCCCATGCAACCTTCAAGTAGCATGACGCTCTCGCGTTGGCTGTCATGAAAATTGCAGTGGCGAAGGATGCCAAGACAAATCCAAGTCATCAGCGTAGAAGTAAGATAGCGGTAAAAAACAATAGCACTTTAAAAAAGCTAAATGGCGAGTTATCAAACAACTAATACCCTAGGGGATCCCAGGACTTTGTTGGGACAGTTGGGGGATACCTCAGACCGCGAATCCAAGCCCTGAACCCTAAACTGCAAATCCAAACCCTGAACCCCGTTTCAGCAAGGAGTCAGGGGTGATCTTGGTGAACAAGAACGCCAGCTGTGGTGGCATGGGGTCGGGCTTGTTCGGAATTGGGAAGAGTCGGCCTCAAGGGCAAAAAGAAGGTTTAAGGCTAGCGGCTTGGTACTAGAGCTTACTGGATCTTGTTCTGATCATACAGCGCGCTTCATCTGGAGTATGTATCATTCCGTGGTCATTCTGAGGTGCTTCTTACATCTCTGTTTCCATTTCAACTTCCATTTGACTGTCCATTTGATTCCTCTTTCGCCTCCCCATTATTAAAACTGAGTCTTATAGCAGGTTCATCCCCCCAACGGTAACAGCCCCAAAGGTTTACCGAGCTAACAAAGGCTATATAATGCTTAAAGGGCCGAATAGGGTTCCAAATCTTGGGGGTTACTCTTGGGGGATTGTAAGATCTAATTAACTTATACTAGGACCACAAGCCCTAAACCCTAAACCGGAGTGGCAACCAGCTGACCTGTCTTCAAGCTCCTGTTCTCGTCGTTCTTCTCCACGGACAGGATCTTGTCCTCGCATTGCTCTACTGGGTTGCTGTCAAGGAACTTAAAGTAAGTTACCGTAATGGGTACGTATAGTAAATAATGGGGCTTCCCCTATATAGTAACTTAGATTAAATTCCTTAACAGCGACCCAGTAGGCCACCCAAACTTCACATGGGCTATGGTCTAAACTCCTCGTATTCCCCTTAATAAGCCCTATTAAACCTCCACCTATGGAATCCCCTATACAACCCACTTTTTAGGAGTTTAGACTATAGCTTACATGGAATTCAGAAGGGGCCTTACAACATGCAAGTTTAGGCCAAACTGACGACCCTTCCCCTCCCTGAACCCTGGACCAAATCCCTACCTTTCTGAAAGGGAGGGAATATAATCCCTATACTATATATAGTCCCCATATAAACTATATTCTAAACTCCTCGCATCCTCCTTAGTATCCCTCTATAATACTCCCCCCTTTAAGGGAGTTTAGACTAGAGCTCATATAGAGCATTCCCGACTAATCACCCCCAGTCAGCTATCTGCACCTTTTCGACCACGAGCCCCAGTCCTTGCTCTTCTTCACGTTGCTTGCGTGCGGGTCACCTTCATCCGGCTGGGCACCCTTCAAAGTTGCGATTTCGTGATCACGCTCCTTGGGCCAGAAATCTGCAATTCCCTCCCCATACATAGCAATCCCCCCCAATTACAAAGAATATTGGTGCTATGTGCGGAGGTTATCATTAGGGGGAATGGAATTACAAGACTCCCACACATCCTATACATCCTACGTGAACACGGAGTGAACCCCAAAAATCTACACGCCAGATGAACCCTAAACCTTGGGCACTGCCCCACCCCAGTAACAGTCTATAATAGGCATCATATGCAGGGCTTTACATATTAAGATTATAAGTATAATGATTATCCCGGTGTGGGGCAGTACCCAACCTCTCTTTCCCGCAGACTCAGAGCTCTGTCGGCCGCTAGACACTATACTTACCTGTGGTTAGCTAGGAATGAAGGACTGGATCCTTCTGGTAGTCCCCATAATCTAACCCGTTATAGTAATTTCCATGTTCTTTTCCATTCCTTCATTCCCAGCTAGCCAAAGGTAAGTATACAGAGGGCCTCATAGAAGTGTCACACCACTTCTTGCGGAGGTAGCAGACATGCTCGCCACGAAAAATCCAGAAGCTTCACCAGAAAAACAGAAATTACATAGTGGCCCTGAACTCCCGTCTGTCCCGCTTTCTACCCTACTCTACAGCCCAAATGGCACCAAAGAGCCCGGCTTGGAGTTTCGGATTGGACTCAGGGTGACTCTACTTACCTTTGGTTAGCTCACGAATGGTGCACCCCCAACTGGTACCCGCGCTGAGAAGCCCTCATGTTTATCCCTAGGAAGGGATCCTTTAGTCCCTGTATAACCCATTATAGTAGTTTCCATTTTCTTTTCCATCCTAAGCAATAGGCGCTAAACCCTATATAACCCGTTATATTCAAAACACTGAAAGAAAGAAAGTCCATTTGGAGGATCCCTACAAGGACTTTGAAGCTTTTGCTGACCCCAACAGCACCCAGGAGCATACTTCTTCTTCAGCTCTTCCAGGTACTCATCGGCACCATAGAAAATCGAAGCTTTGGAATGCCCTGCCTCTGGGGAGTAGGGCCACAGTATCGGGTTAAGGGTTTTTTCTAGACACCAATGTGACTTGTATGCTTCGGGATTTAGGCTTTGGATTTGGGTTCGGGGTGCAATGCAGACGATATCCTGCCTAAACAACTTCACTACATGATTTTTAGGTCTATTTGAGCCGCGGTCTCAGCTCCCACTATCCACCCTTAATAACCCCTACAGTACCCTGTATAAGCCCCTAAATAAACCCCTTGAAGGAGTTTAGATTATACCTCATTTGAGGCACCCTATACAATAATTCTACAAGGCATCTGAGACCCTAAACCCTATAGTATTGGTAGAGGCTCAAGCAAGATCAGGCCAGGGTAAAAAAGCGAGACAAATCCGTTCGGTTTAGGGTTTGGGGTGTAAGGTCTTGGTTTTAGGGTTTGGGTACCCTAAACCCTAGGGTTTGAGTTTTAGGGTTTAGGGCCTGACTTAGCTAAGGGAAGCATTTTGAAACCTAACCCCTATCAACCCTACGCCTCACACCGTTTTCATCACGAGCTCATCCCTGATCTCTAAACTTTTAATCCCTTAAATTCCAGACAGCCAGGAACCCAAAGCCCCAAACCCATTCTAAAGCCTAAAGCCCAGAAACCCTGAATCCTGAAGCCCAAACTCTAAATCCGAAATAACATGAGGATTCCTATCTTTTTTCCAGTGTCCCTTTATAACCCCTGAAAGCCTAGAAACCTGAATTGCCAACCCATCCGCCTTCTTCTCCAACAAGGGTGCGCTCGCCATGAGATCTGAACCCACTAGAGCACTACACTTGCAACAAGTTTTTGAGCCTCGCACCTCGCAACGAGTCTGACTTTAGGGTTTAGGGTAGTCTGAGACCTATTTAGGGTGAAAAGCTCGGGGTTGCCATGCAATTTTCAGAGATTTATGACTCCCCGTGGGCTGTTGGAGCATGGGCCATATACACTAGTACTAAGAACTGGATTGCATCCATGTGGTGTACTGTACTTTGGGGGTGTTCGACTCATAATTGTTGTAGCCATTGCACCACTGGGCAACATAGCTATCAACAAAAGACAAGACGAACGTAAATCAATACTCAGCGCAGCTACAGTAAAGAGAGCAGCAATGGCAATATCAATGATACCCGGTTTCACATGAGCCATAGTCCAAACTCCTACTATCCCCCTTGACGACCCCTATAAGACAACCCTATAAAATCCCCTTAAGGAGTCTAGATTATATCTCACATGGAAATTATGATCATCAGGATGAAGGGTTGAGGAAGAACGCCGAGCTGCGCGCAGCGAAGCGCTGGAAGAAGGAAGGTGCTACAGACCGCAACGGCACGGAACTGTAAGGCCAAAAGGATCAAACCCGGAACCCCAAAGCCCTACAGTTAAGGGTTGAGGGTTTAGGGTTGAGGGTTTAGGGTTGAGGGTTTAGGGTTTAATTTGACCGGGGGGGAGCGCTGCGCTATGCCTGAACCCTGTCATGGGCCAAGCCGCAACGCACAGGACGATGATGACCACAATCACGGTGGTGTCATCTCCTCCGCCCTGGTTGGTAGTACCTTCAACACACGGGCCTCCTCTTCTTACTGGGGCTTAGCAAGGAATAAAGGAATAGATTCTAATGAGATATAGGGCTTATGTATGGTTGGTAGTACCTTCTAACAATGGAACTTAACACCTCTACTAAAAGTTAATGTTTCTGGTCCCCGTAATAGCAAGGTAGGGGAACCCCCAAGAAGTTAAGGGTGGGTAGCTAAGTACCAAGCGGCTTCAACACACCGGCCTCTTCTTGTTTGATGCACAGCTGACTAGCATTACCACGCACTACTGGCTGCTTGCAGAATTCGCCCCCCTCTCTCTCACTCTCTCTCACAATGTTCTGATACACTCCGTCTTGTCAGTATCAGAAGAAATGAGGCTCCCGTCTACAGCCTCTGTGAGAAAGTATAGGCACAGGGGACCAATTGTACACCTGGGCCAAACTCTTGTCAGTGAGCTTTCCCAAACCTTTTGACTCCCCAAGCACATCACAAAGACAATGTTATCCCAAGCCTGAGCCCTAACCTCTAATGTTCTTGCCAACTTCATCCCTAACCCCTGAACGTTACCTACGCGTAGAGAGACCTATAAACCCTTTAAAGGGACGCCTACAACAAGGCCCCCGCATAGCTTTTAACCCAGAAATCCTGGACTGCAAGGCCTCCTGAGCCGGAAGAAGCCGTTGTGGTCGCACCTGCCGTTGCCGTGGTGATGTCCGTGGACTTGCGGGTGGTTCTAAAAGTCCTTATAAGGAAACCCTAAACCCTAAACCGCGTAAGGAACGGACCACTGGAAATACACTGATCCTAACATAAAATGGAACCTACCTTCTGGCCATTTTGGGATTTAGGGTTTAGGGCAACTATCTCTTAGGCCTTCCCAAAGTTTAGTGGCGTTTAAGTTTTAGGGTTCAGGTTTAGGGTTACACCCTAAACCCCAAACCCTTGGACCTGTAACTCCTAAACCCCAAACCCTAGTGGAGAAAAGGGTTTGCGCTTTACTGTCAGGATTCTGGTTTGCTGCTAAGGAACTTAATCTAAGATACCATAATATGGGTGTATAGTAAATAATGGGGTTCCTTGTTATACTAACTTAAACCCTAAACCCTAAACCCTGAACCTATACCCTAAACCCTAAACCCTAAACCGTGAATAGCAACCCAGGATTTGGAGGGCTTGGGGATTTGAGGCTCAGGCCTGGAAAAAGGCTGCTCACGACAGGAAGGCCCTTTAGGGACTTTAGGGTAGACACTTACAGGGTTTGTAGGGGATATATATATAGTGGTAGCTTTCGGGTTTAGGAATTAGAGGAGGTGGAGAGTACCCCTCAGGGTTCAGAAAGATCCGAACCTGAGGCTTCAAAGCCATTTGTTAATCAGCGGCGCCTGCTGTGGTGGCAGCAGCGCTCGATGAAGTGGTGGGAAGTTCCTGGACCACTATTGAGACACTGTGCGCGGTTCCAGGATTGAGGCTTTAGGCAGTATTCAGCCGAAAGACAATGACTTCGCAGTCAAAGCTTCTGAAAGCCAGGGCATAGTTATCAGGGTGATTGCTCCAACCTATGACTGTACAGGTTCGAAGAACTCCTAAACTCGAAAATCTTAAACTGCTCCCATGACCATCCAGATTCGTTGGTCACTGCCGTCTGCGTGCTCGTCACCTTGCAACAGGAACAGGAATGAAAGGAGCAATGGTACGAAAATGACCTCCGAGTAGCAATGCGCACAATAATGCGAGCTTAACGTCCTGCTGGAATAACATATTCTGTGATTCTAAGACAGGAAGAAGCAGCAGTCAGAACATAACTGGCAACCCAAAGACAGAGCAGCCCATGCACAAGCCCCGCGGCACAGGAGGCATGCTGTGAGTCCGGCAACAGGGTTATATTGGGATATATAATGGAAAATAAAATGGAAACTAACGGATTATAATAAGGTATATATAGGTATATATTGGGGTTATTTTGGGGTATATTGGGGATATATTAGGGTTATACTAGGTTTATATATAGATGTTGCAACGTGATTTTTTCCCCCAAACCCTCGCGGTACCTCTTGTTTTGCTGGGATTGAAAGTGGACGGGGTTTAGATGGGGTTCTGTAAGGGTTGGCGCGTCCGGATCATCACAACTCTGGCAAACACAGGAGGTTTAGGGCGTAGGGTTTAGGGTTTAGGGTTCCGTAATAGCACTCGGTCCCCAATTAGCATGCCCTGTCGAGAAGCAAGAGAAACTTTCAATGTTACGGGGCTTAAGGAGAGAGGTTCTGGTGGTTCACATGAAGAAGAGGCCCCAAGTTAGACCCCAATGAAAAAATACCATCTTTAGTACTGGGACTCCAGAAAGGGGCCCTAATTTTGGGAAACCCTAAACCATATAGCCTTGCATAATGCAAGTTTCCATTCCATGGTCCATTGTCTTTTCCATTTGACTCTCCATTATTGGGTTACAATTTCCAACATCACATCTGGGATCCTGCTGGTTGGTGACGCTAGGTTTTAGGGTTGAGGGTTTAGGATTCAAGATTTAGGGCTTAGGACGAGCTCCATCGCTGTTTCAGAAATCCTGGCGGTTACGGGACAGACAAGAGTAAGTAGAGCAGAGCGTATTGCCAGGGGAACCCTCAACCGGAACACCCTACACCGTGTTTCAAGTGGGTCTTGAGTACCAGCCCAACTTGCCCGCCTGGGCGCAAAACCCTAAACCCTATACCCTAAATTCCCAACCCTGCGGCCTGCTGGATGGCAACATTCTGAACATTGGCGTTCGTAAGCCCGGTGGCCAAATGCTGAGCCATGGTTGTCGGCGTGACAGCATCAAGTGTGGCCTTCACAAGCTGCATGTGAACAAGTTAGGCCATGTTCTTCGTATGACATGTTACAAGCAAGAAGATAATATCATATGCATATATGGGGCTTATAGTCCCCCTTAAGTAGATAGAACATGGCTTTGGGTCTATCATAATATCCCCATATACCCCATATTCTATCTACTTGAGGGGGACTAAGACCCTAAACCCCAAACCCCATACTCTATCTACTTGAGGGGGACTATACAGGTTCCACTCAGTTGCAAATTAGAACTTTTCAGGAGCTTCTAGTTCAAGGCCTCTGGGTTGGAGTTTAGGGTTCAAAGGAGGTTTATAGGGGTTATATAGGGATAATGGAAAAGAAGATGGAAACTGCTTTTTAGGGTTTAAGGTTCTGGGCAAATTTCTGTTTACCAGGGTTTAGGGTTTGGATATTACAGATCTGACAAGGGTCCGGTGCACGGTAGGTCCTCTCCTGTTGTTGCCCTTTTTAACCATGTTGTATATCTAGGGGAGTTATATCAGGCGTGTAGGGGGCTTCTGTGAGGTGCCTATATGATAACTCCCCTCCTTAAACTGCCATAAACCCTACACCCTAAAACCTAGAGACCTAATTAAGCCCTAAACCCGTAAACCCTGATTAAAGGGGTCCAGGCTCCTTATGGGGCCCCCTTCTGGATTCCATGCTGTTATGCCTACATATGCTTTCGTATTCCAAAGGGGCTCGGGACCCGAAGGACATGTCGCTTAGGGTTTGAGGCTTAGCACTTGAGCTATAGTCTAAACTCCTAGCATCCCACTTCATACCTCCTTGTAGTGGATCCCCTTTATATAACCCCCTTTAGGGAGTTAGACTGTGGCTCATTTAGGGTTTAGGCTCACGAGGAGATTCTGGGAATCGGTTTAACGACTACATGGGGATCATGTTCAGAGATTCCGAAATTTCACCTCAAGGTCTCGAAGGGTCTAAAGACATGGAATTTCGATCTCTTTAATTGAGGAGTTTGCCCTAAATCCTATACCTACGGGACAATGATGCAACTGATCCTAGGATCATTCAAGGTAAGGATCCTTAAGATAGGGGTTTCGGGCTCCCTCTACTCCTTAAACCGAACTTCCAGGCCTGAACCCTTCTAGTCTGGACCCTACAATAATACAAGCCCAATATGTCAGCGTAGTAGTTTCCACCTTCTTTTCCATTATCCCTTATATGACCCATTGCATCATATAGGGTTTAGGGTTTTGGCCAAGACTTGCAATGACTGAATCCAACGTCCTTGTGTGAAACAGCCACATCCTTCAGAGTGGGCGGAGAACAGAGCTACGCAACGAAGAGTTGAAATGCCCGATTCAATGCGTAGGTGTAGGGCTTATGTCACTCATGCCACCCCAAAAGGCGTCCGATCAAGCATGACAGGCCGAATGGCGATCAAGAAGTACGGGCCCTAGTATGGACTCCTATGGACCCTTAGTACTTAGGCTTCTTTGGGAGGATTCTAGGGGCCCTTAAGGATACGTATTCTATAGCAGCTCTTTACAGGATCCCTGGGTGAAGGGCCCATATTGGGGCCCATAGCTTCAACCTAAGAAGTTGAGCTTCGGCTGTCAGAGGACTTGCAGTCCTCATTGCCTCCGGGCTTGGATAGCATGGCCCTGTTGGCAAAACCAGCCTACATCGTCATAGCAGTCACAGTAGCAATAAGAGGAATAAAGCTGAAACTGAAAGTGTATCACCTCAGCTGTCCCGCCAAAGGTCAACCCACTCACCATGAGAACTCTCTCTTTTGAACCCTTGGAAATTGCCCTGTCTGAGCTACTCCTCAAGACAACATCCTATCCTGAAGGGCACTATCCAGTAAACTTGAAGGGTGCAATATATGTAGGGGATTATATACGGGAGTGCTATAGGTAGTATTAATAAGGAGGTCAGACTATAGCTTCCATGACTCCTCTATGTCCTTTCCAAACGGAAGGGACCCACCCCAAACCCGAAACCCTAAACCAGAGGGTTTGGGGTTTGGGGTTGGGGTTTGGGGTTCAGGGCTCCGTACTACCCAAGGTTTATCCCCCAATACCTCAACTCCCAACAAGATGGAACCCACCCACCCTGCCTTGATGGCAGCTGCACCACCACCGGCAGCAGCAATGTAGTAATTGATTTGGGCCGGAACCTCCGGTGAGTTTTTGTTGCAGATCCGAGTTTAGGGTTTAAGTTTAGGGTTTAGGGTGTAGAGTCTAGTTTTAGGGAGTTTAAAGACTATTCATGTAACTGCTATTGCCACTAGTGCTTTCGCTCCCACGACGGCTACACCATGATCATTCAAGCTTTGAAGCTTTGAGTTCAAGTTTTCGGGGTCAGGGGCTGCAATGTGGAAATCTGTGTCCTTAGAATTTGCACTCAAAAGTCGCTGCTAAGCGAATTGATAACCACCCCCCTTTGGAGGAACCTAGGACCTAGGAGGGATAGTGTCCAGTGAGGGAAGCAAGCTACCCATGAAGTGTGCAGCAGGATTGCAAAGCCGTCATCGGTGGTGATATCCCCTCGGGGGTTTCTACACCACCCGGCTTCACCTGGCAAAGACACCCCTTCAACAAGATTCAACAAGGATGATCAACCAGACCCTCAACCAAGCAGAGAGAGTTTTCATGCCGAAGGTTGGGGTTGGGTTGGGATTTGGCTTGCACGTCGTCTCTCCAGAGCTTGAGAAACTCGGACATTGTGGTCGGGTTCTTCTATTCGCAACAAATGTGTCAAAAAGCCCAAAGTCAACCCAAGCCCTTCACTTGAATTTACGGCTGCGTTTGGGGCCCAATGAGCCCAAACCCTGGATTTTGCAACTGGGTAGCTGCTGCAAGTTGCCGAGACTGCAGGAAAGCCAGGCGCCGCGAGTTGCATGCAACCCCCTGATGTTCGTGTTGGGTTTGGGGTTCAGGGTCCTAACACATGCAAAAAGGTCTATCGGCAGTCTGAAAATGAGGGGACACCCGGGGTCCTTTCTGTAAGATGTCGATTCCTACAGCAATAGATCCAAAATTGGGCAGGCGCATCGCTTCAGGGAACCTAATATAACCCCAATATACTATGGTAGTTTGCATTTTCTTTTCCATTATCCCAATATATCCCCTATATAACCCCAATATAATCCCTAAATATCCCTTCAAAGGGACCTAGGGTTTCCATTTTCTTTTCCATTATCCCAATATATCCCCTATATAACCACTATATATCCCTTTAAAGGGACCTAGGGTTTCCATTTTCTTTTCCATTATCCCAATATATCCCCAATATAGCAGAGATTGTATGGATCAGCCACACGGACTGGATGGGGAGTACCAACGGGAAGGCAGGAACTGTTCTTTCTAATTGTTTAGGGTTTAGGGTTTAGGGTTTAGGGCTGATGCTGAACCCAGACCTTAGTGTACAAGAATAGCAGAATTCCCAAGGTGTAAGGTACTTAAGGTCATGCGGGCAATATCCACCGGAACATGTATTTTTGGTGAGCTCCCCGGAGACCGCAGAGGAAAATGGGAGCTGCCAGCTTCCACAAAAAAGAGACCCTTTTTTGGAGTGCGTGCAACTAGCATTGGGGGTATACAGGGACGTACAGCTTATCCCTAAAAATAAGACTCCTTATACTGAGGGCCAGTTGGGTCTTTTTGGAAACTACCACACAGCCGGCGTACTTCAGGGTTTGGTGGTCTTCCAAAACAGGGTTCCATTGCTATGGCCGGGGCATGCTCTGGGGTTTCTCGCAGGTTAAACCCGGTAGCTGACCAGGTAGCTACCCAGAACACCTGGAGCTCTTTTTTTCGTGGCATGCTCCCTTTTTGGGATGACTAGAAGCCATTGTGCTGAATCACCACGACAACCAAGCCATACAAAAACTTCAAAACCTATCTTTCAGCGACGTTGCTTTACTCACACTACGGATCTGCATGGAAATGCAGATGAATGAAAGGTTTTGGGGTCTTATGGTCAACTGTCACGATGATGTGCAGCAGGACCCTCTGAGGCGCGTGCGGAAATACCTTGGCTGATGACAAGGGCTTAGGGTTTAGCGGGTTTTGGGGTTTTAGGGTTTTGGGGTGCTCAAAACACTGACGCCGTTCGCTTAGAGCGAGGGTTTCAGATTAGGGTTTGGATGCTCATGTGAGTACGGTTTTGTTTGGTGTTTGAACCCAGTAAGGTCATGTTTCTCATAGAAATTACGATACCGTAGTCATTCTCTCTATCAAGCGCGATTGCATCCCCAAACAAGATACTGCTCGTTTAGGGCTGGTCGCATTGCTCAAAGGCTGCGATCCATTTTGGGGCCTCTTTGAACATGTGGGGGTTTCCATAGGTAGCGGGCCCCAAAATAAACCCCCAGATAAGGCAATTCTTCTTCTAGGGACCCCCTGAACAGGACCCCTAACGCTGGGAAACTCCTACATGGCTTCTGAAATTCAAAATGGTCAAAGCAAAATTAAGCCCTATCTCTGAATCCTGCTCCCAGAACATTTAACTTCAGCCCAACCGGAAACCCTCCAGGCGCTATCCCTGAACCCTTCCATCTTACTCCCACCCAAAACCTTGAGCCCTAAACCCTAAACCTTAAATCCTAAACCCTAAAACCCTAAACCTAACCAAAAAAAATGAAGTGGCTTCGGAATTTTGAAAATGGCAGTCGGGTGGCTCACGCTGTCTGCAGAGACCTGAGCTTGGATCTAAATCCTGCGGAAAAGCATGGACAAGAAATCTTCCCAACATAGTACCATTACATGAGCCGTAGTCTAAACTCAATATAGGGGATGTTAAGGGGGATACTTAAAAGTCTTCCCAATGTGGTACCATTACATCATGACAGGAATGTCTACTACCGGAGGGTGGGGCCCAATATTTATGTACCCTAAACCCTAAACCCGTAAACCCGAAGCCCAGGTTTAGGGTTGGGTGTACCGGTTGGGGAGTGTTACGGATGGATTCTGCATGCAACGGCTACGGACGGTGCGCTCACTCATGATGTTTGAGGAGTTTTGGGCGTCACGACGATGTTGAACAACTGTTGTCAGGCTTAGGGTTTAGAATTTAGAGATTAGGGTTTAGGTAAACAATCAAACAAGTAGCCCTGCAGTCCCTGACAATGCTCGGCATATAGGATAGCGTCATTCGAGGATGGGGGTTGGGTCCAGGATATCAATTCTAGGTAGTGGGTGCAATTATAAGTATACGGTTGTACGCGTAAACTTTAAGCCCTGAAGCTATGGGGTTGCATAGGGAGTCCCAAAGTGAAGGGAACCTTGCCCTGCGACGTTCAACGGCATACTCCTCAAGTAACCTAATATGGGGCCCATTGAAAACATGGGGCTAGTGTGCCCCTTACAAGCCCCAAGATACCGTACGCCTAATTCTAGGGACTCTCACAGAAGAGACCCCTATTTGGGGAAATCCTAAAGCCTATAAATCCCTATGAAACCCTTTGATTCCCTATGAAGCCTTATGAATCCCTATGAATCGCTACGTACGCCTAGATAAGCCCCTTCCAAGTTTTAGAAACCCGTTTTGCTTCTGCATTGGTTCAGGCCAGGGATCCAACAAGGCTCAGACATCCCAATCACAAGCACTGCTCGTTGATAAAACCTAAATGCATATATATATATATACATATGTATATATAGATATAACCTCATATATGGTTTAGGGCTGTACATATATATACATATATACACATGTGTGAGTATGCATATCACTGTAGATGTCCCTATGTGAATCCCTATGTATATAACCCATTTTCGAGTGCATATATGTATATGTGTGTGTGTGCGTATATACATACCCCGCTACCTGTCCCCTATAACCGCTTTGCTGCATCCGAACATGCCTCAACCAAGGCACTCCAGCGGCAAGTGCCAAGCCCTGGGCTAGGCCATTGGTAGCTTCCGTGGTGAGGAGGTCGTTGCAATTCTCAATCTGTGCCTCCACGACCTCAGCACATAGAGCGCTGGGGAACTTGCCGTTTTTTATCGCGCCTTTTCCCCACGGCGCGTCACCGCAGAAGGGTATAGGCTATAGGATTCAGGGTTGAGGGTTTATGGGGGAATTGGCAAAGGCACTCTGGAGGCCTGTAGAGACACTATGAGACTATAGTCCCCCTTAAGTAGATAGAATATGGCTTTGGGTATATTACTATAAGGGGGACTGTATGATGACACAGGGGTCCACTCCCCTGTTCTGAAACTATGCCTACTCGACCTCAAACTGACTCGTTTAGGGTTTAAGCTTTTGGCTTACTTGGGAATGTGGGAATGGGCCGCAAGGACTATGATAAATCCCTACAAAAGCCAGCCTCCATTCCGTTGTCCTTTTTCTTTTCCATTTGAGTCTCCATTATTTGAGGTAATATATCCCCAAACCCTTTATGACCCCATATATCCCTATATAGTCCGTATATAATGTAGCAAAAATGCTGCAGTATCAAGCCGCTACAAAAGAAGACCAGCAGAATGCAGCATTTGGCCAGGGAGCTCCACTGACGTACTTGATGGAGGTGGAGGTAGTCGTTTGGGTGGAGGTGTCTGTTGAGGTTTCTGAGATTTTTGTGGTGGTTGTTGCCGTGGCTGTTTCGCCAACGGTCGTCGTGTCACTGAAAGTTGTGCTAGCTGTGGTTGT